TGTATATTGAAATTAAATTTTAGACGATCTTAAATTTTGCTCTGGACTTTATCTAATTCAAAATGTATTAAGATTTCTTTATGATCATGTCAGTTTATGGTTAGTATATCAATTAGGATTCAAGAATTTAAATACAAAATTGTTTAGAAATGTGAATAAAAATTTTGTAGTCTATTTTATGTTAATTTTTCAAAATTCTATTGGTCGTAATACAAATATTGCAATGAATAAAATGTCATAAGAAAATGTCATAAGTAATGCTGAGCTGATTTTTTTTTTTTTGTGGTAGAAACTATATGATTTGATATTTTTGAATATATATCATAAATTTATTGAGTGATGTGCTAAAATAGTTCATGACTATTTACACAGGCCAGTTTAGCCTCAGAGTTTATAGAAGTGTCAAAATAACTACCAAAATCTTTAAATTAAGAGTGAAATAGTCATCTGAAAATCATTAGAACTCATTTTTAAAATAATTATTTCTCTCCTGAATATATTTAACAACTTTTAAGATTAATATTTTTATTTTATAGGATATATTTAGTAACATGGTAGATAAATTAAATCTTTTTTTTTTTCATAAATAATGAGATGGATTCAAGTGTTTATTCTATTGTTAAATCGTTCAAGCTACTAAAAATGTGAATAAAAATAATTGTAATCATATAAAGCATCAAATGAGGGCCTTTTTACTCAAGTGGATGACACCTAAGAATCATAAATATTTTTAATTGAATGTATAATCCATATTCTCCATAAATAGGGAGGCTTTTTTAGTCATGTTTTATATTAAAAAAAATATTCCGTCTGGACGTCCATAAGTCTGGACGATCAATCACCGGCGGCCATATCGCCTGTCGTTGACGCATATGACAATGTGACCGTCTGCGATTGACCGTCCGGACGTGCGGTGTCCGAACAGAATATTTTCTTCTTATTTTGATCTTATCATTTTTTTGATAGATAAAAATCTAACCTTAGAAACCATAAAAGTATATATATATATATATTCTCAAATATAATCATTTAAAATGTCTGCATTAGTCAATCCACTTTCTTAGAATTATTTCTAACGAATTAAGAAATAAAAAAATAATTACTTGAGGATTTAAATTAATTATTTTAAACTGCAACTTCACTTCAACTCATTTCTACTCCAAATAACCCATAGGTTCATAAGATTCCTTATTCCTCTATATATTTTCTAGAATTATATCTAGTCTTTATTATTCCAATGATTCATCTAAATTCTATTTAACTTAATTACTTTTTTAATATAGTGATCTCACTTTTCTATTTATTTTGCGCATTTTGATCACATTTTTAGGAAAATAAAAAATTTGTCTAAACGTCCGTACGTCCGAACGGCTAACTACCAACCGTTACATAGCCCGTCGCTAAGGTGAATGGCGACGTAGCGCCCAATGATTGGCCTTACGGACGCGCGGTGTTCAGACGAAATATTTTCTACATTTTTAATGAGAAAGATGAAGCGGACTAAATATTTTTCTAGACACGTCCTTCACTCAAGGATCTTTGGTTAATTTTGTTTGACCAAGTCAACATTTGATAATCCTGTGGGGCTCACAAAAATAAAACAAGTATTTTATTTTTTTAGGATTTGAGATAATTGAAATACATCTTCTCTATCGATTAGATTTAATTCACAGCCTAAATTAACACAACATTAAGTTTAGGACAAACAAACCCTAATTAGGTCGAAATCCCAAATTAGACCTAATTAACCTTCTTAAACCTTAACAACATTAAGTTTAGGGCAAGCAAACCCAAATTAGGTCTAAATCTCAATTAGACCTAATTAATTACATTAAGCCTTACTTACATTAGACCTTACTTAACCTAAACTCAATTCATTTTAACTCTAATTATACCTAATTAACCACATTAAGCTTTACTTATTTCAGACTTAATTCAATTTAAACTAAATTTGGTCTAACTCTAATTAGACCTAATTAACCACATTAAGCCTTACTTACATTAGGCTTAATTTATCCTAAAATCAATTAGGTATAACCCTAATTAGACATAATAAAACTAGTTAAGCCTTACCCATGTTAGGTTTAATTAACCTATATAGAAAAAAAAATTATCTATTGATGAGGATGTTTTCCTTATTTTGAGCTAACCATCATACACGCGCTCGAATACGCATTTATACTACAAATCTCGTAGCATTTTTAGCAAAGAAACATTTAAGGCCAGCTTTAAAATTATTAAGAACTCCTATTTCAACAAGCTTATAGTCAAATTGATCGATTTGACGAGACGAACCCAACGACACAAAAATTTACCTAATATGAGTAAAATCAGGTATGAATCAAAGTTGGTAAGCCACAATTGCAGGTTTTTGGTGTCTTATTGAAAGATCAAATTGATTCCAAATCTGACAAAGATGATAGTCAAATTTAGTGTCTCAATAAGACGAGTCTAATGAGACTAAAATCACTCAATTCTAACATCTTTAAGACACTCAAATGTCCGAAAAATACAATCCGATTGAGGCAGTTCCTTCGGGTAGTCTGATGGAGTGGTATGAATTCTTTTCTTATTTTATAGGAAACCCACTCTTGTACTTTATAAATAAAGCCTTACCTCTATCATCAAGAGGGTGTGGACTACAGTCGAGGATGGAGAAGAGGTGGAGCTAGAGTTAGATCTTTATTTTGTTATCTAACACGAATCTTAGGGCATTGTGCACAAATGTTGAAGTATTTTTTTAGCAAGTAATAATCAAAATCGATTTAAAAACCATCAAGAACTCCAATTTTAGCATATTTATAGTCAAATTGACACGCTTGACAAGACGAACCGAACAATACAAAAAATAATACAATTCGAGTTTAATCAGGTTAAGCTCAAGTTTTAAGCCACTTTTTGGAAGCTTATGATGCCTATTTAGAATGTCAAAGGGATTATGAATTTGACTAAATAACAATCAAATTGAGTGGCTAGACGAGCCAATCCAATGAGTCGAAATATCACTTAATTTTGTCATCGTTGAGGCGCTCAAATGTTTGGAAAACACAGTATAATTGAGAAAATCTCTCAAAGTAGTTCGATGGAGTGATCCAGATTTCTTTCTTATTTATAAGGAAGCTACTCTCATACTCTATAAATAAAGCCTTACTCCATGAAGGGGGATATGGACTGAAGCTGAGGACGGTGGAAGAAGTGCTGAAGCTAGAGCTGGATCAAGAGAAGAAGGAGCTGAATTCCAATGTTGTCATGCACCGAAGGCCTGACGAATGTTTCTTGTTCATGTTATTACCGACCAACATCAACCACCCCCTTAACTCACTATCGACCGCCCCCTGTTCATTGCAACAAATCCCTTACGAAGTTATGACGTATGTTGCAGAACACTAAAGCACTGTGCAGAGTAACGACTAAGCTTGCTGAGTAAAGAATCATCCTACGGAGCAACACACGCCAAATATGGGGTAATAACACACTTCAAAGATTAGGTAGCAATGCCCTGAATGCCACGTAATGCACACCTCACATACAATGCAACAATACACACTGAATACGATGTAACTCATAATAATAACTACTCACAACCACTATACTCAGAATATGGTGGCATTTTTCGGACTATTGAAGTTCTCTCCTCTTGCCGCTCCCAAATTCGTCCATTGTGACATTCAAATGTTATTACATCTACCATTAAGGCCAACATGACCAACTACAACCACAAGGTCCACAACACATGCAACTTCTAACTCTGGCCTTGTGACCTGCAGACTTTATCACAACTCACCACAACTACTTATGTGACCAACTACAACCTATGTTGCTCACAACTCATGCGGATTCTGACCTCAATCTCTGTGGCTTACATGTGTTATCACAAGCCACCACTACAACCTATGTGACTAATTACGGTATATGTGACAATGACTCATGCAACTCCCAAATCAAGCTTATGTGGCCTACAAACGTTACTATAGCTTACCACTACGTCATACATGACCAGCTACATGCTACGTGGTCCATGACTCATGCAACTTCAAACACCGACCTTTATGGTCTATGGGAGTTATCACATCTCACTACCATGCCAATATGACTAATTGCAACCTACGTGGTCCACAACTCAACTATCTCTCAACTTTGGCCTCTATGACCTACAGACTTTATAGCTGCTCAACACTATGATCGACTTAACCAACTATGATCTATGCATTCTATAGCTCATGCAGCTCTCAACTCTCAGCTTCTATGACCTACGATTGCTATTGCAGCTCCCCATTGCGACCTTTGTAACCAACTATGACCCACATGTATCGCAACTCCTACAGCTCTCTACTACGATCTATGTGGCAAACTAATGCTCCTGAAACAATCATCTATAACCCCTATGACTAACTACTACCACAGCTTTCAACTACGACTTTTAGACCAACCAGTGCAACAACCACCATCTACAACATCCATGATGAGTTAATACTTTCCTAACAATCGACTATGGACTTTGTGACACATTACAACTGTTATTACCAAACTAATGTTGTATATCGACATTGTAATTCCACATTCTCTAATTAAATAGAAGAGCATACTTGTGTACTTACAATCATATAGTGAATTATTTAAATCGAGCCATACCCTATGATTTTTATTGCATTTTCAGAATTTTTTATGTGAAAAACCAAGATGTCTCATTCTGCTTATTTTTGTTTTATTTTGGAAAAAACAAAACAATTATTATTCTATTGGCGTGAATCGTCCGACACCACCAACAATATATATTGACTAAACTTTAATAAATTTATAATTTTTTAATTACTTAATATCCATATATTTTTTTTTTGACTCTCATATCAAAATATTTCAATAGTAAAATTTTAGCTCGGCAAACAATCAACATTAAGAAAAATAAAAAATCGTAACGCCCCTCATGTTTAGTTTTTTTCTATACTTGGTAACGCCCATCGTTTTTCCTATTTTTCAATAAATCTTGCATGTCAAGATAGATGCAAAACACTTATTTTATTTCCAAAATCGTTAGAGTGAATATTGGAAAGTATTTATCGGCACGGGGGAATGGATTTTAAGCTGACAACCAAAATCAAACCGGTCAACTGCGAATCATCTACCTCGCGGGAGAGGTAGGGTTTTGCTGTCCACAATGGCTGCCTTCGCACAGGAACAGCTGGACGCGCTGGTGAATGGCATGTATCGCGAGGTTTACCAGATATATTTCTACGGCTCTAGTTCTTGTCTGTTGTGTTTCGTGAAATCTGTTTTTTTGATAGGACTGTTTGATTTTTACGACATGAAATCGACATGCGAATTGGGGTTTATTTTGTTTTTTGTTTTTTCTTGAGGCAGGGTTTTCTGGATGAGCAGTTCCAGCAGATTCGGGCGCTAGATGAAGGGGGGAGTCCTGATTTTCTTGTAGAGTTGCTTGGTTTGTTCTGTGCTGATGCAGAGAGGATTTTGAACGAGCTGACCGGCTTATTGTATGTGTCCTTTTTTTTTCTTAGAATGGGATTGCTGGTTTGGTTTTTATGATGATTTGATTGAGATTGAAATGGGTTTTGGTTGCTTTTGATCAACAGAAATCAACCCATTGTGGATTACAAGAAAGTGGATGCTTATGTCCACCAGCTGAAAGGAAGCAGCGCAAGGTTTGTTTGATTTATTACTATGAATACATGTTGTGACTTGGTTTTGTGCTTTATCTTAGTTTGTTCTTTTGGCTTTTTGTTTGTGCATTTTGCAGTGTTGGTGCCCATAGTGTGAAATTGACGTGCATGCTTGCTCGTGAATGCTGTGATAAAAATGACAAAGAAGGGTAGGCGGTCGATCCCTTGTCTTTGTGAAAACACTAGCATGGTCACTGCAATTTATGCTTACTTTTCTCTCATTTTGGTTTTGTATTGATGTTGAAACATTTCCCGTTGAATATATTTTGTTCATCATGTCATGGTATTATCATGTCTGAGGAATATTTCTTGAGTTATTGTATTTGCAACTGCGAGAAACCTGCGGAAGTTTTTTTTTTTCTTTTTATGTAATTTTATATTAATAATAAAATTGATGATAAATTGAAACATTGCATTCTACTAGTTGAAGATAAACATTGAAACTTTTTTTGCTTAAGTGTAAGTAATTTACAAATGAAAAATAAAAATGAACTTTATAAAAAATATGCCAACTATGTGATTAGAAAGGAATTTTCAGTAGAAAAATAATGCTAGATTTCCAAGGCCAAGTTTTCAGCAATAGTAGAATGCTGCTCTTGGATTTTCAACAAGATATATTGATAACGTCTTAGGGCACCTAGAAAGTGTTTAGGAAGTGATTTTAGTGGGGAGATAATTTTGAAGTGGCTAAGTAATTTTAATACTGGCATTCAACAATGTTTGCATGGGGATAAGTGTTGTTCGGCGGTTGTCCCTGCCAAAAACAATGAGAAGAACCACGAATAAATGACATATGTGCAGCAAGGAGGTTCACCGTCTGTTCATGAGCAAGATATTTATACACTATTTGCAAAAGGAAGATGATTCAACACTCATAAATGATGAAATCAAATATTACAATCTCCATAATACTCAAACAAAGAAAAATTCTTCAAAACAGAAAAAATCCACTCATATATAGGTCTCTAATAGCAAGAATCCTAATTGGAAAAAACTAACTAGAAAAAAAGGGCTAAAATCAGGAATCAGCGGAATTTCCCACGATTGCAAGATTTGCTGCAACCTTGTGGAATCTGTCATTTGCTTGATTAATCCTACGATATAGACAAAAACGTGGGACCCCACAAAAAGCTTAAGCGTTATTCTTCCGAGACAGGAAAAGCTTCTTCTTCTTCTTTTCTTGAAACTTCTGGTATAGATCTACCATCATAGCAAAATCATCACCATGATGTTACTTAGACAGTCCCACGATAAAATCAATGCTCACATCCAATTCATTCAACTTTAAAACACGCTTGTCCTTTCAAAGTCAGTCCTGATTCATCTTTTTTTGCACAACCAGAGCTGCAACTGCTGATAGACATGTATTCTATCGAATCAAGCATTGACCAATCAAGCATGTAACATTATTTTTCTTGCTCTTTGTTCTTGGCTGGGCTCATTTGATAAACAAGTATGTTTGGAGAAACCGACCATGGCATAAAATCTATGGTTGGTTGGACCACTCTCAATGAAAACCACCCTGGAGATGAACTGTCAGTCAAGGCATCCAATAACTCCTTCAATAGGGGACATCCCTTTTTTGTCATTTGCTTCTTTTATTCACTGTCGTCTATGAATATCAATGTTGGTCTTGCTAGAGTCTTGATAGTGTTTCAGATGATATCATCTGATACTAGAATGGTATCATCTGATACTAGATGATACCATTCTAGGGCCTCTTGAAAGTGTTTCAGAAGCGATTTTAGCAGGGAGATGGTTGTAGAGTGCCAAGAGAATGATAATATGGGCAATCGATGATGTTTGGATGGCGATAGGTGTTGTTAGGTGGTTGTCACTGCTGAAAACAATGAGAAGAACCACAAAATGATGAGGTACGGGCAACGAGGAGGTTCACCACATGTTTCCGAGCAATATACATACACACCACTTGTAGGAAGAAGAAGATATAGCACTCCTAAAGGAGGAAATAAGAGATTACAATCCCTGTAATACACAAATATCCATTTTTTAAAGTATCAAAAAATTTTCATGATTTAAAGTTAAAATTTAAATCTTTAAAATGAAGGATCTGTGTTCACTCTTTTTTCTTAATGAAGTGTTGGATTTTTTCCCCTCTTAGTAGAATACCATGTTGTTTTTAATAGTTGTATAAATATTCCCAAAATTTCAAAATACTTATAATTATTATGTAGTCTTAGAATTCTTAGTATCATCATGGTTGACCACCTCTATTTGCTGTCCTTGCTGACATCAGCTACTTTTGCCTACCCCGGTCACCTACCATTGTCATAACATATGTGAAGCATCTGCTATGTCTCTCTTCCAATCATCTCCCATCAGTTACCAATGGTTTTTTAATAACATATATATGTTTTTTATTTTTCATATCATCCTAGCTCCTTTATAGAACATCAATTCCCAAGCTTCATTTATCTGCAACTAACTCTTTAATTAAACAACCTTAATCAATCAAGGTTAAACGCTTTCATCTCCTCTACGGATTGTTATTTTTTTCATTTCTTCCCTTTATGTTTTGTTGGGTTTTCATCTTTGTTTCTAGAGGTTACGGATTTACTTTATTGTTGCATTTTCTTTAGTATCGAGATCTCTGTGTAGCATTGTGGTGTTCGGTTTTTGTCACCACAGTCCTTATTAGAAATGCTTGATTCCCACAACCATGCAGGGCACCTTTTCTTTTGAAGCTAAAATGCTTTATAAATGATAGAATAACTCCAGGACTTTTGCAAGGCTTCATGAGTCTCCTAAGGCAGGATGTCATAAGAGTTGTGTGGCCTATAATGTTGGAAGCTACGAACCACTGATACATTTTTTGGAGTTATTATTCATTTGAGTAAGCATTCTTAGTTGAAATTAGGCAAGCAAATGAAAAGGACCATGGAGGTTCAACGATAATACTATGGTTAAAAGAATTAAAACTTTGAGTTTTTGATGGTTGACCGCTATACAAGTTACTATGGAAGGATGCTGAAAGGGTTTCCTATTATTTGTAACTAAGGCAATGTGCCATATGCTGGAAGAGTTCCCTATTATTTGTGTCTAAGGCAATGTGCCATATTTCCAGGTTGCTCAGCACTTTTCGAAGTAACATCAGCGGTAGAAACTTGATTCAGCTGCTTATGTCGATTTTCTTTACAGTTATTTTTCTTTCCCTTTTATCTACTGTTAACAAAATGTTCTACAATGCCCTCCCATATCAGCAAAGTATCTCATGGTGTTTGAACCTTTATTGGGAATGATTAACTTTTTATATAGCACTTGACGTGGTAGATTTATCACTATTTTCAGCAATCATCTTCAACTTTACTGATAGAAATTTTATCCACAAAGCTCTAAATAGTAGTTTTCTTACAACAATGATCACCGACATTACCAAAAACGACCTTATAATACATTTTGTGTTGTTGCATGATTCATCTATTTTGCATAAGATGACTTTTTGAAGGCTTAAGGGTTTGTTTGGTGGCATGCATTTAAAATGCATGTATTTTAAAGATGCAAAGTGAAATAAGTATAATGCATTATGTTTAAATTGAGATGATTGATTGGAGGTAAACTTATTAAATAAATACAGTAAAGTAACTTTTTTTGCTGCAAGTATAGTATGAGGTTTGGTATCTCAATGAAATATAGTGAAATTACCTCCTGTTTTTCTATGTGATATAAAATAAAATGTAGATATATTAAAATAAATTGTTTATTGTACTCATCCATGCCTCTATTTTATAACAACATGCAGTATCAGGAATCAATGTTAAATCCATATTCATTAATATGCATGATGGTATATAGTTGGTGGTTGCCCTAGTTTCTGCCAGGAAAATGTAAAAATCACCACAAAAATAGGAGATGTTACATATTCAAATAAGCAAGATCTTGGTTTTCTAATAAATCATACAGCTGCAAACCTTTGCGGTTGTACTTTTCTGGTGAGATTTCTTCTTAAAGTAATGAAGTTGGAGAGCCACTGCAATCGTGAGCATGGTGTCAAATCACTTGAATCACGAAAAAGATCTTCAATCGACCCATTTTAACATGCTTTTTAAGCTTTGTTTGGAACCGCTTTTTAAGCTTTTGCTTTTTGAAAAAAAATTGTAAATTATTTTCTTAATTGGTTTTGTTCTAATGCTTATGTAAAAGTGCTTCTATTCAAACTCCATTTTTTTGGCCATTTCTGATAGATATTTACATCTGAATTTAAACTGCTTCTTTTCTTAAAACAGTTTTTAAACAAGCTTTTATAAAAGTAAAAGCGCAGTCAAACAAATCCTTAGCATATTTTTTTAGCAATTTCGATAATTATTGTTATCATTATTTGATGGAGGAAAAAACTCTTTAAGTTGAAATCAAAGGCGGTGACGTGATTCAAAGCAAAGTAGATGCGACTAATTTGGCTGCTCTTTTTTGCAAGAAAAATTAACAGCTCAAGTATTTGAAGTCCAACAAAATTTTAGTTTATATTGACTTTATTGCCTTCCAAACATTTAAAAGGCACGATGCATGTAAAGCTTATACTTCACACCTATTTCCCTCCAACCAAATAACCCCCAAGTACTTATATTACAGCTTGTGCACTCAATAATCTATCTCAAATTGTTTCATTCACTTTTGGGTTCATTTAAGCGATGTTTGGTAGGACATTGCATTCCAAACACTTGGAAGCTAAGATACATGCAAAAATTATACTTCACACCCATTTTCTCTCCAGCCGAATAGCCCCTAAGCGGTTATATTACACTATGTGCCCTTAAAAATCTAACTCAAATTACTCCATTCACTTTTGGGTTCATCTAAGGGATGTTTAATTGGCTGCAGAAGGATATTGCATTTCATTTCTTGCATTTAACTTTTTTGTTTTTTATTTGAAGAAAAAATGCTAATTAAGATATTGTGGGATTTGACTTACTTCATAATCTTTGTTTTTATGACATTTGAAAATCACCCAAATTTAGAAATTTTCAAATCTCACATTATGTACACTTGCATTTCCTTTCCACTATTGCCGATGCTCGATGCCGCCATTACTTGAGATTGCTTTCATTTTTGCCTGCTTGCCTTTGTTGCTACCAGCCATCTGCTGCTATCTTTGCCACTGCTACTTGTCGCCTCTAGACGCCGCTCACCAGTTCCAGCCTATTTTCACATTTCAATGGATTTATAAAATATACATTATATGAACGTAAGAAAAAAAATTCATTGCATTAATCCAATCAAATAACTATTTCTAGAATGCATGCATTCTAGCTATTCTGCATTTCTGAAATGCTTGTATTTTTAAAACATCCAACCAAACAGTCCCTTAGTGACTACTGACCAATGACAAATTATATAAATTGTTGTTTTAGTGATTTAGCCCCCATCTCATCTGAGTATATTTTTTCAGTAGTTACATGTTGTAAGTTAGTTTACTTTAGAAAGCCTTGAACACGTATGCTCTTTTTTACTATATTATTAGAGCTCACATCATGGTGTTTTTCCCAATTGTTAAACATCATCAAACTGAAAATCCATTATACCCCGTTTGAATATTCCAAAATTTCTAATTCATTTGTAGGATGACCATACGCTTGCAAGTTTTATTTTAACACTTTTCTATTCAGTTTTTCATTTTATTTATGCATCCTACACGCTTCACCAATCACGTGATTCACTCTGCTATATTTAATATTTCTCTTTGCTCATTATCTCCTTACCTGTTCTAATATCCTGTCCACTTATGATGACTCATGTTTTTTTTCGTGATTTTTCAGCTAACTTTTTTTTTCGTCTAATCTCTTCCACCTGTTTTTCTTTCTTGCTTTATTGTTATATCTAATTCCATTATTTATTAGATCCAGAGTATTAATAATCTCTAAGTTGCAAAAAAGTCAGATTATTAATATTAAATACTTGCATATCACTTTAATGGTTTCCCTTTTTAGCTTAGTTAGCTCATCGATCCATGCAGCCATTGGTGATAAATATGTTAGCTCCTTGCCACCATTCTTCCATGGAAACCTCTGCCTTAGAAACTTATTTCTGTTGGTTTATGAGGCTTTTACTATTTTGAACATCCTAAGTATGCTTGAGTTTTACCTGGTTCTTATCTCATTGGGAACTTCTTGATCCTAGATATTTGAACCTTGGTGCTTTATTTCCTTGTTTTTTGATCTTTGTAAACTTGGCCTCATCTATTCATTATCTGCTATGTTGATTGTTTAATGTCTTTATTTGATAATGTTAGCTCACTGTGTACAGTTTTCCTGTTTGGTACAGTTTGTGTTCATCAGTATCATTCATTGCATTTATCCTTACAAAAAGCAAATTTTTCTGATCTTAGCTTTGCAATTTAGAATCTAAAGCCTCTATTTTGCTTTATGCTAGCATGTTCTTGGTTTTTTTTATAGCAATATTATAGTTGGGAATCATAGAACCCGCATAAAGTAAATTATCTTGAAGCTAAGATTTTGGGCCTATCTGTTAATCCTGGGATTCATTGTTATCAAAGCTTATTGATTATTGGGGGAGAAAAAGGAAGATTTACATACATACCACTCAATTAATATGTGTTTGCATATCATTCACCTATACTTCAATTTTTACATGTATGCCACCTTACCTATGCATGAAAAAGTGCATTTCAGTTTTTAAAAGTTAAAATAGTGATATTTTAGATGTAATATGAAAGCTTTGAGTGGTATAACTGTAAAGGCAACGTTTAGATGTTAGAATTGGGTGGTATGCATGTCAATGCCTCCAAAAAAAGGAACTTTTAGATTATTATATGTGTAGCAAGTGAGTGAATTTATGTGAGTGGATTCCATATATTATGAAGGGCAAATCAAGATGAACTTTAAATATACTAGTCTCCTGAATGATACGAACATGTGAAACCAGTTATTCTTAATCATTATAATTTTTGTTTTCAATTAACCGAGGGTCAAGATTTACTGTATGCTGAACAATGTCATGAATAATGTTTTTGTTTTTTATGGCACTGGTCTTTTAATGTTAGCCCCAACCAGCCTGTAACCTGTGTTGTTCTCTTCTATTTGCTAATCAATGAAATTTAATGCTATCTTACTTGGTTATTTATATTGCAACGAGATGCAAAAAGGCTACGATTATTCTATGCATTTAAGCAAAACTAATCATTTATATCTGTTAATACAGAATTTGATGCTTTTATTCATAATTAGGTGTTGCATGTTTTCTTTTTATTTATTTATGAAAGAAATCTTTTTTTGATGTCAGTTGCTTGCAGGCCTTGAACCTTGCCAAACAGAGGTTTTATGAGTTGTCCAAGAGATTTAATATCATGATTCAGGTGACCGATAGCCTGCATTATTTTTTAAACTTGTTTTATGTGATTTTATGAAGATTACCGAGTAAAAACCTTCTTTCACACTGATGGTTTGTATACTCTGTTGAAAGGCTTGGTAATTATAATTATTTACATGTGCACTAAATGATTCTACGCTCTTTTTAGACGCTTTTCACTCCTCTACATAGCTGACTTGCTCGTCTATAATATGACCCCCTTGTACTGTGACCTTCGTCATTCATAAGCTATGATACAGATGTTTATCGATCAATCTACATCTTTAGCTTTAAAATGGCCAATTGAGTAAATATTATGAACTTTTTAGATACCCACGCTTTTGATTATTTAATTACTGTTAGATTTTTATTAAACGTAATAAAGGCATGCATCTCTTGCTACTGCTAAAGCCCGTCTCATGATAAGATGATGCATAGGTCAATAAATAAATATTATGATATTGTTGACCTCATTTTTGTGAGGTCTTCTCTTCTCCTCCTTAGAGCCTAGGATCTAGTTCTAGGAGTTCTTATTGATCGTCTTAGAAAATTAGAATTGATACCCACACTTTTAGAAAATTCTAGCCAATTCTTATTTTTCCTTTGATGTCTAGCATCTTTGGCACAAGACCATCGTCTTATGAACGAGCGGTTATGGGTTATTTTGCAAAGACTCAAGGGAAAAGTTCCTAATAGGACTTCAAGCCTTAGGAAAACATCGTCACGACTTTTCCGTCACATCACGAAATCGAACTTCAATTAAGCCCAGAGGAGGGGGGCAAAATGCGAACTTTTCCGAACGACCTCCGATGACAAATTGGACTGCTCCAACGCGTCCGAGATACCAATTTTGGTAGGAAAGAACACCTATATTGTCATATTTTTGGCACGAGAAAATTGACACGCAAATCGATGAATTCGTCAAAACGACCTCTGACAGCAAAACAGACAGCGCCGGTGCGTCCGGAATATTGAAATTACCTAAGGAGGACACCTATTTTTGCTAGGGCGCCGCACATGGATAAATCACATGAAATTTGATATATATATATATATATTATATAATTCTGTTTTTTTTCTCTAAACCAAAATCCCTAAATCACACGGTTCACTCGATTGCTTTTTCTTCCCGTTCGCGAGGCCGGCTCGAGCTTTCCTTCCTCTTCGATCGTGAGCCCTAGCCGAACGGACAGAGCCCCTCGCCGATCGCGAAGATTCGGCTTGCGGTCCCACTCCTCGTACGCCTGCAACCCTGCGAAAAGCTTCCACCTACTCCCTCCGACGCGCTCCGGCCTTCCCCTCCCACGCCTCGATTCTCGTCGTCATCTCCTCACGCGAGGTTTGTCGCTTCTCTTGGCTCGGCTCACCGCCCAGGTAAGTGACGGGAAACACACCTCCTCTTTCCTGGCTATATAAACCCCATTTTGGAGAGTTCCTAGGGCCGACCGAAAATTTTTGGAGAGGGTGGAGGTGCTGCCAAAATCTCCTCTAAATCTCCTTGGTTCGATTTTTAATTTTTGAAGAGGGTGGAGGTGCTGCCAAAATCTCCTCTAAATCTCCTTGGTTCGATTTTTCTTGTTCTGTTTATCTCGTGTGCTTGAGCCCTTTTGGAAGTGCTGTGGAGAAAATTTTTGGACTTTTCGGAGCTGAAACTTTTAGGAAAAGGGGAGGTAAGCCGAAACTTTTGGGGAAAGAGGAGGTACTGCCGGATTTTCTGCTTGTTTTGTTCTACACTTTGACCGAGTTCTTCGCATTCCACATTCCTTGTTGGTCCACTCGATACCTTTGCTTGGCCGCTTGTTTGGCCATTGAGATTTTGGGTTGGTTCAAAAGAGCTTCGATAGAATGAGGTGCTGTAGAAATATTTCTATTCTTGCATTTGCCTTGAATTTACGCCAAGAGGTCATACTTTCCTCTTTTACACAGCGCATAATAGCTAAACTTAAAGGAGCAATGAATTTACAAGGTGTACAGGTTTAATTTATATTACAACATTTTATTTTTCCAGCATGTTATATTATTTTCATAACCTATTATACTATTTTCTCAGTATGCTATATTGTCTTTTCTTTCTACTGTACACTATACTGCTCTTTTCTGTTATACTGCATGCTTGGTTACTTTGATACACTATGCCTCAGATTATGCTAATCTAGCGTAAGGTTACACTGAGCCTCCAATTTTCTTACACTAAAACTAAACCGGGGATGCTTGTTGCTTGCTTTACTCCATCTTCTTCCTCTTCTCTGACATTTCCGACGAGGAACAACTTCAAAGTGGATCTGCAACAGCTAAACATCAAAACACATCACATAAACACATTCACATCACCTATCACCTTTTTTAGTTTAAATAACAATCCATAGGGTCACTCTCTAGGTTTTTTTGTACAACTCTGTTGTACGATTATAAGTCCTAACGCTTTAGGATTCCGAGGTTACCGTGCAGTACTGTGTAAATCCTCCTATATTTTTAGGTTATTTGCACAGTTCGATATTGTGTAAACATAAGTCCTAAATTTTAAATAATTTGCAGGATTGAAATATTAAACTACATCTTTTCAAAAGATATAAAGCCAAACATTAGGACAGTTGGGACATCTCCGGGGTTTCTCCTGGATCTGTGATTGATATCCGATATCCCCTACTTTTTTTCCCTTTGGATTCCTTAAATAATTGTTCCTATTTTGAGCCATTCCTATTTGATTTTCCCATGTCCAATCGTGAAAACCTAAACTTCGGAATCTCGAAAATTCCTCTTTTACACAGCGCATATTAGCTAAACTTAAACGAGTAATGAACCTACCAGGTGCACAAATTTAATTATATTGCAACATTTTATTTTCCCAACATGTTACATTGCTTTTATATCCTGTTATACTACTCTTTATAGCATGTTATACTCTTCTTTCAGAATGTTATACTGTCTTTTCTTTTTATTGTACATTATATTGTTATTGTTCTTTCACACTGCATGCTTAGTTACTTTGATATGCTATGCCTTAGTGTAGAATAACCTAGTGGTTAGGAGCATATTCAAAACTAAAACTAAACTAGGAGGTGCTACTACGAAGAGTTTGGAGCGAACATCGCGGGCAGCGCGACGAGGAACAATTTCCTGGTGGATTTGCAGCAGCGAAACACATTCATGTCACATAAATACATTCACATCACCTATCACCTTCTTTAGTTTAAATAACAACCCATAGGATTACTCTCTAGGCTTTTTTGTATAACTCTGTTGTGTTGTACTAAGTCCTAACGCTTTAGGATTTCGAGGTTACCGTGTAGTACGGTGTAAATCCTCCTTGTAAATCCTCCTATATCCTCCTATATTTTTAGGTTATTTGCACAGTTCGATATTGTGTAAACATAAGTCCTAAATTTTAAATAATTTGCAGGATTGAAATATTAAACTACATCTTTTCAAAAGATATAAAGCCAAACATTAGGACAGTTGGGACATCTCCGGGGTTTCTCCTGGATCTGTGATATCCCCTACTTTTTTTCCCTTTGGATTCCTTAAATAATTGTTCCTATTTTGAGCCATTCCTATTTGATTTTCCCATGTCCAATCGTGAAAACCTAAACTTCGGAATCTCGAAAATAAAACCACCTGATCTTAATCAAGAGTTTTCTTAAGTGATTTCGATCATTTAAGATATAATTAACTATATGGGTTTGCCTCTATAGGGAACCAGGAACCCAGATAAAATAAACCTTATCTAATTTTTTATGTTAGGTAGGGGAACTTGTTGGCCTTTTTATAAAATATTTCGCAGACCAAAACGGATGTCACAAATTCTTTATTTTAGGTGATTGAATTCTTATTACAAGTGATATATTTATTTTTCGGGATATGTGTATTACTTGTAGTATTGTATTCAATCATCTAAACTATTTAAAATGTGAGACTCGTTTGGTCTCACCTATTTTAAAATTAAAATGTTACTTTTAAAAATAAAAAAGGGTTATATTCATATTTAAATTATTTT